CCAAATCTTTGTATAATCAAAACAACGTTCAAATTATATTTGATAAGCATATGGTTGTAAATGATCAACAAAGCGCGAGGGGTGCCGCAGAATCGGCTTACGTCAATCATGATACCGAGGTTTTTCCTGTCGGTACCTATACGCAAAATTCATCAAGTGAGTATCTTCCAAAGGATTCTTCTCCAAATTATAGCTTTTACGAAGATCCGTATGGACAGAATTCAACTGATCGAGAATTATTATATATACTTGATTTTCATTTCAAAATTGATACACATGAATATATTTAGAAAATGAAGCGGTTGGTAATAAATATTATCCCCTAACCGACACCATTTACATAATTATGCGATTATACTTAAATTTTAATTGACATATTTAAAATTTTGTGTCATTGCATTTTAAGAGAATTATATTTTAACGAGTTTTTTTTTTTATAAAAATTATCAATATTTTCTTTAATTCTGCATTATTGTTAAAAAATTATAAAATTATAAAACAATTATTTGCAATTTAATTCTGCTAACAAATCTGTGAAATGTTATTGTCCGGAGCGAAGCGTAGGACATTATACTTTTAGTGAAATTGATATGTCACGTGAGGAGTTCCGTTTGTCACAACGCCTCTAAAATTGATCTAATACAATTAATTAACATTTAATAAATAAATATTTTGTTATTTCATTTACCAATTGTAAATTCTTAAAATACATATATAAATTTCGCTCCGGACTCACAACGGTTTCCGTTTCCTAGTAATTATAATATCCTGAGATCTCAGAAACATCTGGCTGCACATAATATATAAAGTCTTCAAATAAGATCATAATTTGTAGTTTTATTGTAGTAACATATTTTTTGGTCTTTATAAAAGTCGTTCACATTATTCCTTGAAATAGATTGTTTGGAAATTTAAGTAATTAAGAAAGGATTATATTTACCAAATGTTCTTTAATTCATAATATCGGTTTTAATTCAATTGTGTAAATGGCAGGTGATAAATCATATATCCCCGGCTAATAGGAATAGTAAAATTTTACTTATTCCCTAGGATAAGTAATACTTATAAATTATAAAAAATAAGCGACCACAGAAGTTAAGCAGAATATAATATACACAAAAGAACCTTGTCTGCTAATTAGTTTTGTAAATTTTTGTACTTGTGTTACGATAAATTGCAAAAGTAATGTTTTGAATA